CTGGTGTGGACAACACAGGCTGGAGCTGAGGCGAAGAGTGGCCTCAGAACTGAACTGGTGGGATGAAGGGTTCGGGAGATAGGCATTGAGTAAGAGGATGAAATGGCGTTTGGCAGCGAAAAAGGAGCTCTTGAGCTTTGCAATAGCTGGAATGCCGATTTATCTGTGTCTATTCTCGCTGAAATCATTTGTGGCTGGGGTAGCAGCTGGTTCTGTCTCGCCAATTCTTTAATACAACCAAGTTTATGCCAGCATTCTTGCAAGCCCTGGTCTCTACTTGGATATAGGTCGGCAGGCCAGAAACCCGAATCTGATGCACGATATCGCTGAGGGTGTTTTAAATGATACTGTCCCGCTTGCGGGTGCTGGCGATTACAAAGAAAATGACATTGTTCGTGCTGAGGTTGAAGAAGTGTGTATGGATGTGCTGGGTATTCGCAGGATCCGTTCCAGGACTGTGGGCTATAATAATAGGGTTGATCCTGATTAGTGGACAAGACGTTTGCTTTCTTAACACTGATACGACCAACAACTGTTTTTCGTTCGAATTCGTTCACGCCTTCGTGGTCGTACGCAAGTCTATTTCTTATGGGCTTTCCTGCTGAGGCATCCTTCAGCCCATCTAGGCCTCTAGTACTCGGGTGCATTTGATAACTAACTGGGGCTGTTTGTGATCTATATGGACACCAAGACGTCTGGTGTGTTTGCTTACGCTGCCGCGAATAACGTTGCTCACATTGATTAATCTTCTCTGTAGTCATAGATCTGTTCTTCGTCACAAAATTATTGCAAGACCGAGAGATGGAGTGTGTGCAAGATGCAGAAGAACAAAGTTCGATGGGAAAACCGCATCGCATCGATTCACCGTTTCTTGAAACCGGCGATGTCCGGCTAGACAAGACGGGCTTAGAAGAGGATGCTTCAGTATCTTCGTCTGGGACAGCAGGCTTCCAGGAGCTTCTTGTACCACTGACACTGAAATCAGTAACGGCAAACGGAGTTTTTTTGTCACTAGCTAAATGGTATTTAGTGGAAATAGTTGGGTCAGTGACGATAGCTGTGGTAGGACGTATGGAAGCTATTTGATCGGAAGCCGTTGAAGATAATAGCGAACTAGAGGGGTGGAAGCAGAGCAACGAGTTGGCTGAGATAAGCTCTTGAATTAGTCTCCACAATTGGTTAGCGTCTCCCGATACCTCGAGACCAAGGCGCTGGAGATTAAAAATAAATGCTGTTTTTGGTATGCAAAGAATTTCTTTAATTACACAATAATTAGATTTAAACATAATAGGTATGATAATTCAGCCATACAGCCATAACAACTGTCCCATTGTGTTATCATCTCACGATGCATTGTGTGCCTGAGGTAAGATTCAACTTTAACCATCAACTGACCTCACAATTCGACATGGCTTATTATTTAGCCACATACATGAATATTATATCAGACTGGGCGTTTAGTAGGCATAAGTTTATGATATAGCAATCATTGGCGCAACAGTGGGCTCTAGTGCGTTTTTGTAAAATGTTTAGTAAACCCTACAGACAAAAAAACGAATCGGTGGCAGTTTTCCACTTTATTCCATGGCGACCTTGCACAGCATCGGATTACTCAGGGCACAGTATTCCACACATACAGGTGGAACATGAAAATTGCTATTCCGAGAGCTGGATGAATCCAGAGCCTTGGCAAGTCTTATATCAAAGTGGGGAACATGAATATTCAGCCTGAGACCTGGCTCCTACCTGACGTAAGCGTCATAAGCAACCACAGGCAAAATCTTCCAGAACTTAACCTTTATTTTTCCTGAAATGATTCCGCTTCGTTAGCCAAAAGCAAACTAGATTCGGATGCATTTCTGGCAATATCCTGAGTTCAATCAGAATCCCTTGCTATGACACGAGGTAGTGGATCTCATCACCGCCGTTGTTGCCAAGTCAGAAAACAAGGCACATTTAAGTTAGCGTTTGTTCATGTTTGCTATAAATTATCAAATGAGACAATATATTTAGTTGAGGTTTCACCTGCCTCATTTAGAGGTCTGTTTCTCAGACTATTCTTTGCCCATGTTATGTATTCCTAATCGAAGCTCAGATTTTAAAAATCTCAATCCCGATACCTGACGCAGAGAATGATGCTCTGCGAATGTGCAGTGAGTCTGATACTGACAAAGTGTGGTCACCCAGATTCACGGGCTGTTTGTGCTCGTTTACAATTATAATTCTCAGTCAGCACAGTTAAGCAATGAAAATAAAAGAGCCTAGCAAAAATAGCTAAATTTTATGTCAAAACTACTATATATAGAAGAATTGTGATTGTTAAATGCATGGCCGGATTACCAGTGATAGATATACAAAAATAACAGCTATAAGTTCCTAACCTATATATTGCCATTTTCGGTGATACAAAATCAATAATATTTTGACGTGTTACTATCCAAAAATTCA